GTTTCTTTAGTCATTTTGCATCCCTTGAAAGACTATCATAACTGGTGGAATCCGTAGCAATCAAATGCAAGTGAAATCATATGGGACTAATCATATATACACTTACATTGTTTGAAATATTACTTAGTTATGATTCTAGTGGCAGGGTCCTTAGAGCTGAGCATAACAAAAATAAGCAACGGTTGGGTGGCTTGGAATCAGTCTGCCTCCAACACCGTAGTCTACCATGTCTAGATATGGGTATAGGACATAATCCCCCTAAGAACTAAAAACGTGAAATCTAGGGGGAAAACTGAATACACTTGTGTCGCACGAATTTCTAGTAACATTTCCTTTCAATCATTTTTTAATTTGTCCATGTTAAATGGGGAAACAACTTACATGGAGAGCTGAAGGAAAGAATGTTATATGAGCTGCATCTTGTCAATATTTGATATCTGGCATCTTTATTTGGATTTTTGGGGTTCACTTGGGCACATGTTTGCTTCATCAGGATCCTGAAATTCGTCCATTGGTTGAGCAAGACTCGGATACTTTACAAAGAATGCTTCCAGATATACCGTTCTGGGTAAAAAACCCAGATTTTGATCGTGTACGTCAATGTCATTAGTCTCTGTCGCATTCTTCCAAGCCATTCTACATATATTTTACTGCCTTGTATTATGATTACTGCATTTTTCTTTTTGTTGCGGCATATTTGAAGGTTGACTGGATAAACAAGTTTTTGGAATATATGTGGCCTTATCTTGACAAGGTTTGACCTCTGGTCCGTGCAAGCTTTTATTTTATTGGTATCCTGCTTCGTTATATGTTTGTTCTTGGTTCTTTCCCATTTACTTTTACTTACTCCTTGTAGGCTATTTGCATGACTGCCAAGAATATTGCCAAACCCATAATAGAGGAGCAAATTCCCAAATATAAAATTGATGCTGTCGAATTTGAAAAGCTTACACTAGGATCTTTACCACCAACTTTCCAAGGTTAGTCAATCAATTACTTTTCAATATTAATTCTACCTCTTGCAAATATTATGCTGCTTATCTTTTACTTAGAAAGGCATTAGCAAGAGAAACATGTGCATTGATAATCATTAGAAATGTCACTTTCAAGGATCAATTGCTATGGTGTTTGGTAAATTGTTGGATAAGTCAGTTTCACAAAGACAAAAAAGTGGTAATTGTCTATGCTAATCCAAATAATTTGCTCCACATTCTGACATAAATTTTGGGCCTTGATCAAAGTAAAAGGTTGTTTCTCCCCCAAAAAACCTACGCACGCATACGCACAAAAACTAGAGTGTATGTCCCAGATGTTTAGAGTTGAGAGCAACATACTCCCATAAAGCCCTGATGCTTGATTTCTTAGTCCAGTGGGTCCAGATTTTGAGATCAAAAACTATATTTGTGTAGATCTTATGTAATTTCTTCCTTTCTTACCCCCCACCACCACCCCCACAAAACATTTTTTGCACTGACCTTGTTGTACTTCTTCCCCTTGATAGGTATGAAAGTGTATGCCACAGAAGAAAAGGAGTTAATCATGGAACCATTAATAAAATGGGCTGCAAATCCTGATGTTACTCTTGCTGTAAAAGCATTTGGACTAAAGGCTACTGTCCAGGTTGTTATTTTGAACTATCATAAATGGGAATATTTTTTGACAGTTAACTGCTCGTGTTAAGAGAGGAGCGAGCAGATTGTTTGTTAATTGTGTGTTTCTTGGAGAATTTCAGGTTGTGGATTTGCAAGTGTTTGCCCTACCACGAATTACCTTAAAGCCTTTGGTTCCAAGCTTTCCTTGTTTTGCAAATATCTTTGTGTCCTTGATGGAGAAGGTTTGATATCATGGATGAATTAAATTCTGTTTCTATGTTTAGATCTTTGATGCATCTGATGTATTCATTTGACAAAGTATTTGTAACTGCAAATTCTTTGCACATGCCTGATTTGACCTTTAATTGATGTAATTAGTTGGTATAAGTAAATTAATGTGACAATATTTTTAACTTTTTGATGAATCATGAGTAGTTCTCTTTTCTCTTAATCATTTGTCCTCTTATCTGCAGCCCTATGTTGACTTTGGATTGAAGCTTATAGGGGCTGATCTCATGTCCATACCTGGTCTTCACAGGTTTGTCCAGGTAAAATGTCATATGATGTTCCTTCTTAAATCTCTTTTCCTATTTCTTACCAGATACTTGGTATACGTGGCTTTATTATATGTTTGAAAGTGTGTTTCTTTTACCAAAAGCGCAATCTGTTTGAGTCATTGTTTTCTTTTCTCTTTAGATGCACAATTTTTAGTATGGAAGTTGGCAGGCCTTTGTTAGTGATGGTTGTATCTGTGCTAACTTTTTCAAGAATGACATCATATTTTGTAGATATACAAAACTTCTCGTCAATGCCTCAGATGGCATTATCTATATGATTTTATAGTATTGCTTTGAATTTTAAAAAAGGGATGTATGTGATGCAGGAGCTCATCAAAGATCAGGTTGCAAACATGTATCTTTTGGCCTAAAACCCTGCAAGTTCCAGTTCTGGATCCATCAAAGTATGTTTCAAGGATGCTCTCATATTATATTATGCCTTAATTCAGTCATTTTTTTCTTTCTTTCACTTATTTGATGATCTTGGCTTATAAATCCATTTGAACTTCCAGAGCTTTTAAGAGGCCTGTAGGAATTCTCCATGTGAAAGTTGTAAGGGCAATGAAGCTAAAGAAGAAAGATCTTTTGGGTGCATCTGACCCTTATGTTAAACTGAAGCTAACTGAGGATAAGCTTACATCTAAGAAAACCACTGTGAAGCGTAAGAACTTGAACCCTGAATGGAATGAGGAATATGAGATGATTGTCAAAGATCCTGATACCCAGGCCTTGGAGCTTCATGTTTATGACTGGGAGCAGGTAATGTTTACAATTTTTTCCTTTCAACTTTTTTGAAGTCTTATCATTTGTTGCTATAGTTACCTTAAATGTTTCTTCCCGTTCCCAGGTTGGGAAGCATGACAAGATGGGAATGAATGTGGTTCCTTTGAAAGAACTTACTCCTGAGGAGCCCAAAGTTATGACCCTTGATCTTCTTAAAAATATGGACTTAAATGATGCTCAAAATGAGAAGTTGCGTGGGCAGATTGTGGTGGAACTAACATATAAGCCCTTCAAAGAAGATGAAATACCAAAATCTTTTGATGAGTCAAAAACACTGCAGAAGGCTCCTGATACTACACCTGATGGTGGAGGTGTTCTTATGGTCATTGTCCATGAGGCGCAAGATGTTGAAGGAAAGCACCACACGAATCCATATGTGACCGTTCTCTTTAGAGGCGAGAAGAAAAGGACTAAGGTATATTATGACAGTAGCATTTAAAGTAACCTTTTAAGACATTGGGTTAAATTGTTTTAACCTTCATTCTAATTTTAAATATCCATTAGTTTGTTCAGTATTCATCTGGTCTTGCAAGTTTCTGCTGAGATACTGTTGTCTTCCTAATCACTTCGTTTCTTTTATAATTATTTTTATTTGAAAAAGAATCAAAGATGGTGGGTAAGCTTTGAGAGAGGATCAATTCATGTTTTCTTCACAGGTTGAACAATGTGATACTGAAACTGTAAAAAAAAAGCTGAGATTTTTTTTACACAGTTTGTATTTCCTATAAATGATGTGTTTTTCAAATTTTATTGGTACAGCATGTAAAGAAAAACAGAGATCCAAGATGGGAAGAGGATTTTTCGTTTGTACTGGACGAACCTCCTGTTAATGATAAATTGCACGTGGAAGTTCTCAGCAGTTCGTCTAGGATTGGCTTGCTGCATCCAAAGGTACTCTTTTTGCGTCATTGCTTGCATGCGTTGTAGCAATCAATTTATTGTTGCCAAATTTCAGTTAGGGGGTTCTACAGGCACAATTACATAACAAAATGTTTGTCCGGACTTTGGTTTGGGTGTCAATATTTCATAGTTTTCCTTGCATTGAAGATTTGGAAGATCATATCTCGGATATAGATTTGGAGTCTATATCGATTCTGGATTATAAAAAAATGTCATTCTTTTCCGTGTTTGAACTTTGAAACTTTATTCCAAATAAATGTAAGTAGAATTTCTAGTTTGATATTATACACACATGCATGTGCACACAAGCTCCCACGTATAGGTGGATTTGTTGCTACTGTCTTTTTATTAGCATTTGCAGGTTCATTTTTCCAGGTTTTGCGATCATGAGATCATTGTATTTGTTTGTATTGAAACAGGAAACACTAGGTTATATCGATATAAATATTTCCGACGTCGTTAACAACAAAAGAATCAATGAGAGGTACCATCTGATAGACTCGAAGAATGGACGGATCCAGATCGAGATGCAATGGAGAACTAAATGAGCCATTTCTCGAATTCAAGATGGAGAAAACTCATTTGTTGAAATCTTAGATTTGTATTTGAGATTATACTTCATTGTTGTTTGTTTTCTGTACATTAAATAAATGTATGTAACAATAATAATACTACTGGTGATAGTACCAAAGTTGGAGGACTGGACGGGCAATCCTTTGTTTTTCTTTGCTTACCTCTTTCAAGTTTTAACCCTTTCAAGTTTTAACCCTTTCAAGTTTCAACCCTCCAAAGTCCAACCTGAATATTAGTACAGAGTTAGGTTATATTGCTCCAATAGATTGTAGAATTTTATCGTTTGATTGATAGTTATGTATGTTTAAAAGCAAATTAGAATAAAATAATAGAAAAATATGTTATAAAAATAACATTTTGGCTGAATAAAAAAAACTAAAATGGAATATAATCGACAAAATTCAACTTATAAGAAGAAGAATAAATAATATATATAGTTTGAAATATTTTAATTATTAAAATTTTATGTATCATTATTATTAATGAAATATTTGCCCCAATTAGCTTTATTACCCGAATTTGCTCATTTTACTCGCACTAACTTAAATACTTCACCTACTAAATCAATCTCTCATTCTATATTATTATTATTTTTATTATCATAATCTAATTTTAATTAATCATTTTCAACTGCTTTATCTGTCCTTTTTCTTCCTAATTTTCTTGCTTTCAACTTTTAGGGTTAGGGTTTTTAGGATTCTTCTCACCAAGTTCTAGAAGATAAAGGAGCGGTTACTTTTTTTAAAAAAATACATATAGGGGAAATTTTTTATAGTTGTAGATGGTGTAGCAATGGATGCAGTGAATCAACAGGAACTGGTAGTGAGACCTTATGGATATGAATATGATGGGGGATATGAGAGGAAAGACATTAAAGAAGCTCACATGGCGGTCATGAATGGAGCAATGAGTTCACTAAGCCATGGGAATGGAATTGTTGGTGGAGGTGTTCTTCAACCTACACGAACCAGTGAACTCACCATTGCATTCGAGGGTGAGGTCTATGTCTTCCCCGCTGTTACTCCAGAAAAGGTTTGACTTTCTTTTATTTATTTTCATATTTTTTTTAAGTTGCATGTGAAGCTTTCATGCGTTTGTATTTTTTGTTAATTGAGAATATTTAATTAGCACGGTCCACTAACTCTGTTTATGTATCGTTATTTTTTATCATTCACTGAGGAGACTTTGCATTTTACAGAGGATTTGTTTTTTATGTTATTGGAAATGGTGTTGATGATGATGTCACTCAAAAGTGATTTTGACACTTAAGATGTTGCTTAATCTCTACTGGTTTCCATTTACCCTGATAACAAGGTTTATTTGGTGTGTTGAAATAAATTTATCCTAAGAGTGCAATGACCAAGGATTGCTTTGGAAAGTCCTGGAATGTGATTAATTCGGTTAGGCTTAGTTGCACAGGCCGTTTATTTTTATTTTATTTTATTTCTTTCATCGATGTTGAGAGCTTCTTCAGCTAGGGGAAAAGTCCCATTCCATTGATGGAGTTAAATCTTCTATTCCACTTGGGGCATAGGGCGGGTAAATGAGATTGACATTATCCATTTTTATTTGTATGAAGATTGTCATTATGGACTAACTGTAAATAAAAGTCCTCCGGAGTTAAGGACGGTGTTGTTCTGCCCGAACAAGTTATTGTAATTTTGAATATATACAAAAGGGTTTTCTTAAATTTTATGTTCAAATAATAGCTCACCTCTGCTACTCAGCTAGATATAAGGCTTTTCTCTCTTGTTTTTCCCCTGTTAGCTGGAAATGAGTTTCTAGCTGATTTTACAGAATGATGGCTTCTGTCGCTGATTCAACTGGAAATAAAGCTTAAGGAAAGATACTTTAAGTCTTTTGATTTGTTTCCACTGATTTCATAGGTGCAGGCAGTTTTACTGCTTCTGGGAGGGTGTGATGCATCAGCTAATGTGGCCAGATCGGAGTTCCTATTACAAGAAAAGGTCAAGGTATCCTATATGCATATGATGTTGCTTTGTGAAATTCATTTGAATATATGAGTTCTTTTGCTAATATTTCCTTAAAACATTTTAAGGCTGTAGATGATTCTTCACGAGGTTCAAAGCTTTCCCGAAGAATTGCCTCCCTAGTAAGATTTCGTGAGAAGAGGAAAGAGAGATGCTTTGAAAAGAAAATTCGTTATACTTGCCGGAAAGAGGTTGCCCACAGGTATATTCCCTTGTTTGTTGATAATTAAATCTTATACCCTAGGACTTGTAGCTTAACTGAGATTTTTACTCATATGAAGTTAAATAAGCTAATGTAGCTTGTTCATGTGATAAGGCTAATTTTATTGCTCTTGAATTATGACATATTACAAGGTCCGTTTTCTCAAGTCTTGGCTATTGCTGCATGATCCTTTTTATAGCATTGCCATTACACATGTTTACTGAAGTTCGCAAGCTATTACAAAATAGCTTTATGGTCCTTAACCAAACTGCTCTTGACATCTCAGCTTTTGGATTTCCTGGATGCTTGATGTGTTCCTCTTAAGATAACATTTGCGTATAGTCTATGCTTTGTTACATTTTTCTTTGATGGTTATACACTTATACTAGATAGGTGGACTCTGTAAGGATAAGCTCTGAATTTCGGGCCTTAAAATAGTTTATTGCATGCTATAGAGAGGAGTTGCTGAAGAAATTAATAGATAAAAAATGCTTAATAGTGTTCTACAAATGTGCTAGTTCTTATGCTGGTAAATTAAGATTTATCTCATCCACAATGTAGCTTTATTGTTTATTCACCGGTTTTCTAAGTGCACTTCAAATGTGCTTGTTCACTAGGAATGTGAGAAAACAGCTTATTTTTTATTGAATGGTTCGTCTTAAAACAAATGGTACAACCTATGCATTTATACACAACTACAACCAATATAAACTAGGAAACAATCAAGAAACTTCCTTTTCCTAAAGTTTGTCGTAAAATGAAGCATAAGATCAGGCCTAAGATGAAAGTCCTGAAACCTCTACAATTAATACAATCTCCTGAAAATAAAATTGACTTATCTCTACAATAACTTGTATCTTCCACAAGGATGCATCGTAAGAATGGACAGTTTTCATCATTCAAGGAGTCCAATTCAGCTGATGGAAGCTGCGATAAAAGTGATGACACCCCTGAATCTGTGTAAGTTTGAAAGAGTTTATTTGTTTCTTTCTCGTTGATGTTAATTGCAATTAAAGGTGTTTTTCTCCTCTTGTTTTGTTTCTTTCCTTAGAAGTGTGCGTAGTTGTCAACACTGTGGGATCAGTGAGAAGTTAACTCCAGCAATGCGTAGGGGGCCAGCTGGTCCTAGAACACTTTGCAATGCTTGTGGCCTTATGTGGGCAAACAAGGTTGGTCTAGAAAAGTTGCAAGTGTTCTTTTACTTAAGTTCGCTTTTGTTGACTTTTTATCCAGGCTGAAGACATTCAAACTTAAATTTAGTTTTGTTATGAAGTTTATTATATTTTATCAGATTTTGTTAGTTTGTCGGTTGTGTACTTTTGTAGCACTCATAGGTACAAACTTTGACAATTCTTACTTGAGATAACCTTCTATGATGTCATTTACCAGATTTTTGAAGTATTTGGGGATTGATTTTCCTTTCTATTGAGAAGACTTAACTTATTGCCTTATAATGCAGTGGCCCTACCCTCTTATCATTTCTTATTGAATCTCTTTAGCATGGTAACTTCGTTCTGTAATCAACCTGGTTGGTCCCTGATAGTATCCATAATAATAATTCTCGTCTTTATTTGCAACTTACCATATATATATATATTTTTAATTTCAAGGGAACACTGAGAGTTCTTAGAAAAGGAGGGGGGAGGAACACTCACTTTGATTCAAATGAGACGGTATGTATATGGAGATCTCATGTGTTCATTACTGTAGGGTTAAATTCTCCACTTAATTTAGCACTCGTTTTCAGTTCTTATTATTATTTTCCTTGTTGTGAACCGAGTTAACATTTTATTCAGTCCAATATTTGATTCTTTTTACCTCTCAGGAAGCGCGATCTGATATTAAGCCTTCAAAGATGGAACCAGAAAATTCTTTTGCCAACAATGATGAGAAGGTATTGATTGATTTCCCTGGGTCACTTGAGGCAAATATGGGTGTAACATGATAATTTGCGAGCGCGAATTTCTTTGATGCGCTAAGTGCTATGTATTTCATTTTAGCTAGGTTTTCCAATCTATTTTGTGATTGTTTCAAAAAAGTAATGTTGACTGTGAAACAGAGAACACCGATGCTTCATCCTGTCATGATCTCTTTACATTCTGTTTTCCATCATCAGGGAAGCCCAGAAGAGTCCAAGCCTGCACCTTTGGATTCTGAAAATCATTTGATAAGATCAAACGAACTGGTGAGATTCTATTAATGACCGGTAGGAGGGGGTCGTCTTGTGATTTTTCCAATTATATGGAAGATTTTAAGATGCAACGTTTCAAACTTGATGCACCAAGAATTTTTTTGTCTAGTTTAAAGTGAGCTCGATATAATCCATTCCAGCAAAGATGTGGCCTTGTTAGAATCTTGCCACTTAAAAGAATTGTGCTAGAAATATCAGTTTGCAAGTGACTGCATTCTGTTGATTAACCAAATATTGCCCACCGGTGTGCAGGATTTTGCACAAAGTTCTCATCCTTTTCTCATCCAGGTGGAGAATTCCTCGGTCAATCTCGATGATGAGGTATGGGACTGGTCACAAACAATTTCTTTTGTTTTTTTTTGTCTGATACAAGAAAATTTCATTTTAATGGGTTAGACTTCGATACACAATGGACTTTCTAAGTTCGTTTACATGGCATTAGGACATGCAGGAAACATTGGAAGAGCTTGCCGATACTTCCGGGTCAGATTTTGAGATTCCTTCACATTTTGACGAGCAGGCAAGTGTTTTTCTTTATCAGACCCGGCATCAACCATGTAGGAAAAGTAACCATATAAGCCAAAAATGTTATTCTTCCTGCAAGTTCCTGAAATACAACACTCTTACAGGTTGACATCGATGATATCGGGACTGTGTGGCCTGGGATTTAAGATCTTTTCCAATCCTCTGAGGTGGAGGATTCATTTCGCTGACATGTTTTGATCAAGGCAAACGCCGGTACCGACTTGACTATAGATTTCCAGAGATCTGATTTTTATAGACACGGGATCAGGATGAGGATCACATCCCCTTTGTATGCGAGTGCTAAACTTTTAACATCTCCTTCTGTTTTGTTGTAATTGTAATGTGAATAATATAATATTGACCCCTTATTTCCCCTTGTTTATGAAAATCGTGATTATAAAGTGTGTGGTACTTTTATCAGATTATGGTCTTGTATTTTCATGTAAACTAACCATCAATCATTAAGGATCAGTTCTATTTTGGTCATCAAACTGATTTTTAATCTAGTTACTAAATATACAAATTAATATCAATGAAATCTTAACTTGTACTAAAAATTTAATTTTTTTTTGTTATTCATAATAAATATTTTATAATTTTAAATCAATTCAGACAGACATCAAATATTTATGTCAATTAATATGACAGATATTTTGAACTATTTTTTTAATATTGACCTTAACCGTCTCTTTCGTATATAATTACGTTAAAAATAATAATATAATCATGAAATTAAAATTTTGTTGTTTGAAACGATACACAAGTTTTGATGACCTTGCACCGTTGCACTTATTAACGTACCACTTGGCCATGCCCATGGTGCACTACCTGACCTACAATTTTTTAGACTCAAAACTACTAAATATTGCAAGCACTGAAATAGCAGTGACGATTATCAATAAGTTTTTATCTCTGAAATAATTCTTTTTTACATAACTATCTATATCCAACTTATCGATTGATTTAGATTGAATAATATAAAAATTAATTATCGAGACAATCCTTCCAACATATTTTTCTCTATTCAAATCACCAAGAGGTTTGACCTAAACCATTGTTACAAGACCCTTATCCCATTAGAAAAGATAGTTATTTTTTCTCTCTCCAAATTATGACAAGGAAAAATAACAATTACACATTTCCTCACAGAAATATTGAAGATGAGTGCATTCAAATATCACATCAATACTTTAAAAAGAAATAAAATTGGATACGAACGCCATAGCTAACATATTTTATCTGAATACATTCTCACCCAAACTATGGGGCAGGCATCAACAAATACGAATGTAAAAAGGAATTACTATTATATAAATGGAAAACTATACTTTCGGAGGGGGCAAAAAGAAAACATTTTTTTCGTTCACATTATTGTTTCGGGAGCAATAAATTTTCACTCCGTTTATTCTTCTGGGAGCGATTTACGGCAGTAGAACAAGGAAATTACAATGAGCAAAAAAAGAAAAATGCATAATAGCTGACTTGCAGATATCTAGCCGTCGAAAATAACACTAGTTACCCATTACGCTGCCTTTGGTTGTAGGAGTTAGAAAAGATATAGGGGGCGAAGATGAAACAAATGCATCCATATTTGAGAAAAAGAAACCGGACCAAGATGCCAAATTGCACATTCAAACAGCCTACAGATCAACTGTAGGGTAGAGGCCCGGCAAGTAACTGCGTCTGTTTCCATTTGAATCTGCACTACCAAACAAGTGTGGTTGTAGCTCCCCCAAGTGAGACGACACACGAGATTTTGAAATTTTAGGAGAAGTTTCATAGGAATCATTTGAACCACTACTTGTGGAATACATTGATGATGTTGGCAGTCCATGAATCTTTGGCAGACCTGTTGGATCGGAACCCAAACTGTATCCCCTCTCAACTGTTTCAGCTTCCAATGGCAATTCGTCCAATGTCTAAAAAAACAGTAAATGCAGGCTTTATGTCGAGAAACCAGAATTAAGTAACTGTAAGGGCACCAGCCATCAAATAATCAAGTAATGTGACGACAAATTGACAAGCATGTAAACAATGAAAAAGACATTTGCCATTGTCCCGTAATAAACAGATGGAAACTCGTGACCATTCTAGAGATTATAATATGTTGACATGTTGCAGTCAAGAGAACCCACCCTGAATGCCTGTTGGAGAACTCGGAGTATTTCTCGAGTACGTTTCCTCTTAGAAGCAATCTCATCAGGTTCCTGTAACATCTCTTCAAACAGGTTTTCTCTGTTCCGGATCATAAGGTATAAAGGATAATCATCAGTCAACAATATTGACAAAAGGATATGTAATTAAAATCAAGTCTAAAGACACAAAGCTCTATATCACCTGTAAAGCTTTCTGATAAAAACGTTGTGAAGCTCACGTTTCGAATGGTTTACCTGGATATAGATATTATCGACAGAGATTAAAAATCATGCAATACTTCAATGTAACATTGGACCACAAACTATTGTTAGCAATACACAATATAATACTCACAGAAAACTACAACATTTTAAGGACCTGATATAAGGAACATATGACACATATAAACCTATTAGTGCTCAAGCAAACTTTTTAATTAACTGGCTAGGTCCATTCTTTAATTGGACTAGCATACCACGTTCATACAACCATGTTTTGTGATCAGTCTACCAATTAAAACACATTAGCCAATATAAACAGTAACACCGTTCAGCGTGCTTGATATGTACTACTCTCCACATTAAACTAGTGGAAGATGGAAATCAACATATTTAGCACCGAATATCGTTTAGGTCGAGACGCATAGTTGCTAATCTGACACAGAGGTGAAAATGGAAAAAAAAATTGATAAGAGTTAAAGGCCTCGTTAAAAACCCCCTTCATGATTAATGGAGCTCGTAGAGAAGCTCCTTAATCAGCGGGAGGAGGAAAAGAGTGCCTTAAAATTTCATTAATAACAAAAGAAGATACATACCAATTACAACACCCAGAAAGACCCCTTACAGAATAACTAGAAAACCAATAATAACAACCCTTAACATCAACACTGAACTCAGCCTATTCCAGCCTTAGCTAAGGCATCAGCCTCTAAGTTAGCTGTCCTAGCAACCCATCTAACAACACCCTCAAAATCTTTAAGCCTATCAACGATGTTAAGGAATTTTAGTAGTCAGGAATTTGAATGTGAACCCAATAAATAGAAAAAGGCACAAGGATGTGTAATTAACAAATTGACTCGGTTTAGAACATACCAAGAAGTGCATAATTGCTTTAGGCACAGAGTCCTCTATATTCTTCCTAACAATGTCATAGTGTGATCTTAAGAGCAACTTGGTAATAGCAATTTCAATAGCTTCAGTTTCTGAACACTCTGAAGGCCTCAAGAGAGTCGGGGGCTGAAACAAATAAAAGAAAAACCTTGTCACAATAAACACATTTTTTTAATCTAACACAAGATCCTCGATGAATTGATCTGTACGCACCTCCCTCAAATGGATCATGGAGAAGGAATGTTCGATGTTTTGAGCAGGTTCTGTATATGGTTTGTTTGTCAAGACCTCTTTCACGGTTGAGTGGTTATCATTGCCAACAAATATTGATGAGATACCCCAAGTTGACCCACTTGTGCTTCCTGGTAAAACCCACATAGAGAACATCAGTTTATTCTTGCGTTGAAAATTCACATAATACAATCCCCCCAACCCATATTTTAAGAGAGAATGAAAGAGAATCCTTAACACTTGGCCATCATATCATACAAGTACCACAGAAAGAATATCAAACTTTAGCACAACAAATTTAACTAATTCATAATGACAGCCTACCAGTCGATGGGACTTTCTCAACATCTGCAGCAGGACGGACTACCTGCACGCAGAGGAAAAAGCTGCAGTGAATACATGACTTATGATGAGGGGGGGGGGGAAGGATTGGAAAAGCAAAGCAGGAAGATCATAGATTGAGCAGCAGGAACCAAATTTCCATGCCTGCTCAGCAGCAATTCCATTAACTTGTCTTGCAATAATAGCCCGAGATTTAGTACTTCTTTCAGAAGTAGGTGCCTTATCAGACTCCAAACCATCCTGAATAAGGTAATAATGAAACATGGAAAGAATGAAAAACAAAAGGAATCAGGAATAAATAAAAGCATTGATATCAGAGAAATGACTACTAGCGGAGGCCTACCTTCGCTTTAGATACAGGCATAAGAACCCTGGAATTCTTTATCTGTTGATTGGCAAATTCTACAGCCTTGCTCCCACCAATAAAATTTGGGTGGGAAGTATTTATGTAATCCATCTGCAAAATTGAAGGGGGTATGTCAAAAGTGAATGAAGTGCTTGGAAAAGATCATATGAGTATAACAAGTATTGCACATCAATATTACCAAGTTCATGACTTATAACACAATTAGGAACAGAAACATAAAATAATAATAATAATAATAATAACAAAAATTAGCAGAACTATGCCTCCATTTCAATAATATGTCCTATCATTGTCTCAGATGGTTCGAGGCCATGGAAATTCCCAATAACTTGGTCCATATGCTTTCTTAGAACAGGAAACCGTCGCAGTTCATTCATCATACAGCGATGACTAATCTGGATACAAAATGATTCCATTAGAAAACTTAGATTGACAAGTGATAGAGCTGTGAGACTATAACGATAATCTGGAATATAAATCACCTTTATTAACTCATCATATATGAATCTGGCACATTGAAGACTTGGATCTATTAAACGTGCTATTTGCCTTCTTACAAGAACTTCAAACGGGACCTACATATCAAAGTTGTATTACATCTATATGCACCAAGTTTAACATAAAAGAATTACAGGCAACCAGTTTGGGGGGAAAAGATTGTTCTTAGATAAAAATGATTTAAAATATGAACCAGTAGAATGTACTTCAGGTACAAACAGTGCAGATCGAGGACCAGTTGCATTCTGAATGGCAGTTCTTATGTCATCATCAGTCAAGCCTTCACATGGATCTACGTCCTGTACACCAATCAGTTAATAGAAAAACTCAAAATCAGCATCAAGTGAAGCAATTACGTAAAGGCTTCATTCAGAGTCACATCTGAGGCTCTGAGCAATTTCTAAAGCTGCAGTGTAATAACTAACGTCTGTTTTACATGAAGCAGTAGCCCAGCAAAAGAAAATAATATCATGAAACCAATAACCACTTGTATCAATAAGGTTTTGTCATATTTATTTGGAACATCCTGTCCTTGCAGGCAACTAGTGCACAATCACATGGGGGAGTGAAATGCACTCATCACTAGAATCACTAGAATATTAATGATAAATTATAGAGATGTATAATATACGCACTTCTAAGATGGAATGGAAAAGAAATCCAGAAAGAAAAAAATCCTAAGTGAAAGCACATTCTAATATCAAAGGCACAGATATCAGTCTACACACCTCTAGGCTCTTAACAAAGATTGATTGGAAAATATAATGAATCCTTGCTCCACCAGACAGCTCAGATGTAGACATCTGTTCATTTTTCCCCTCAACCATTGATGAGAACGCTGTTTCCAGCATGGCACAGATTCATGGTATCATACCAACATAGTATAATTTAATAACAGGAACTTCGAAATATTAATAGGAAATTTACAGAAAGTAAAACAAAACATTTACCCTCACAGTACTTTGACAGAATATTCAGCAGAAGAGCTCCCTGGGCAGCCTATAGGTTACGAAACCATAGTTTTGTCATAAGAAAATTATTCTGGGTGCTTTTTTGCACAACCAAGTTCAGATATACATGCCTTTGATTCAGTGATTTCTCCATAGCTTGCATGCTCCTTTGCCACAGAAACCAGTGCCGAACTAATGCATGATTTCAGCCCAGGAAGTATTGCCTTGATATGTTGTACTAAAATCTACACGGGAAACAACAAATAAAAATTCAGCAAAGCAATAAAAGAAACAAAAAAAAAACCCTAATGCAAAGCATAAATTTGTCTTTTTCATGCTCAACAAACAGAATGCAAATAAGTACTCAACTAGCATAAACTCTTAAACAACTCCTTAGAGCAAAGAGATGACTTGATTCAGATAAAAGGTACAAGGCAATCAGAAGCACTTGAGATAATATAAATAAGGCTGCAGACTTTTTTTTTTTTTATAGAAATTGAAGGCCTCGTTAAAAACCTCCTTATTGATTAAAGGAGCTTGTAAAAAAATTTCTTAATCAGTGGAAGAAGGAAAAGAGTGCCTTAAGATTTTATTAACCATAAGATATATAAGATACAACCAGATCGCCACCCCCAACATAAACAAACAACCAAAAGTGACCGAAAACAACCCTACACAACAAAACTAACACAGCGAAAACCATCTTAGCTACAACAACCGTCACTAATAAGACTTACCAGTCTTAACACCTAAACATAGCCCGAAAACCAACACAAAAAGAAAACAACTAAAACAGAAGCCGAATATCACAGCTGACTCAATCCAAAAAGTCGAATTCAAAAACAAAACCCTGAGCTTCCACACGAAAAGAGTACAAAGAGCAGCTTCCGCCTTTCTGCCTCTTCTTACTCGACTTGTCGACATAGACCATCCGAAACCCCAACTCCAAATCAGAAAACAGAAAAGAATCACCAGAAAGATCCACAGCTTCCACAGCCATAATCTTCCGATATCATAACCACTTTAGAGCCTTCAAGATCAGAAAAAAACTCCCCTCGATGCACCTTCCTCTGAGTCCTCTTGCTTCGACTTTAACGAGGCTTCCTTTGGTGAGCCGAGAATTTTTCTTGAAAAATTCGGAGAGAACTAAATATAGCATTTCTCTCCTCCAAAGCTCTAAGTTTCTGACGCCCTTCCAAAATGGGGAAATCAATTAAAAAATCCTTAGATCTTTTGAATGAAGACTTAGATAGAGTGAAATGATGCAAAGTCTACAATAGGTCTGTGTTCTAATCTGGTTCGAACTAAATAGTAGATTTTTTCCCCACCAAATGCATAAGCATAAGCATAAACAAGGGGATAGATATAGAAAGGACTATGTAAACATTTATAGGAAGTGTGGGCACAGTACCTGAGGCTTCACAGGCACATGATATTTATTACTAAAACGTAAGTACCAGCATGAAATTTTGAATTATATTCCATAAAAGTTTTGAAAACTTCATCTTGCGAATGTTTTACCTGGTTCAGCTTCTTTGCCAGCTGAGGTACACCACAACGATCAGTTAAACTGTTATATACCTATTTACAAGTCAAAAGAAATAAGCAAATTGATTGTGGCAACTGTATCAAACTATGAACAATAGTTAAAGGTTGAGTCAGCCATATTGGACGAGTGCGGAAGAATTTTTCCTCTGCCACAAGAGCATCCTTGATACTCCGGTTGAATAAAATATCCTGTTTAGAGAACAACAATAACAGCACAACCAAATTATTAGCACGCTTGTAAAATAAGATACCTGATAAGCAGTACATGAATATAAGAGCAATAAGTCATATAGAACCAAAACTATGATAATTTTGACGGAGAGAAATAAAAGGTGTTAGGAGAGTAAATAATCCTCTGTTTAAATTGCACCTTGTATCCTTTTCCCCCTTGGGACCCTTAAGTGGTCATATATTTTCATAAGTGACTTAACAATTCAAGAATCATAACCTCCCTTTAGCGTCCAGAGTAATTTTTCTTTCCACTGCATCTGCAGGTTTATGATCAATAAGAATCCAATGCTACTTCTGCCCAACAACAGTCTTTCCTAACTGTAAGATGCCACCCTCTGCTCACTTTCTAAAGCAACGATCCTATCATACATTTATCAATATCCCCAATTGCAACCTCAAGTAGGTTAGTACACTCTTCCAAGAGGTAATCATTATAATTATTGGTTTAGTGTTACTTGATCAAGCATATCTTATTCAGTCTATAGTCGAATTTGTGAAGGCATGAACAACTTCTCAGCACGATATTCATTTTGTCAGATGAATGTATACATAAAAATTTGCATTTTCACGCACTTCGTACATCAGTGGTTGTTTCTCTGAAATAGATTAACATCATTTACCGTGAAACATGCATGGTATTGTGATCTTTGCGGGCACTGCAAGATTTAGGCTTATTGGAAGACTAAACACATAGCATACACATATCGATATTCTTTCAGTTCTGCTTTTAAAATGGCTGACAAGCTAATATTGCAGTAAAACAAGAATATTGAATAGATGGTGCAGTGGATCAATAACAAAATCTTGATAAGTTTCTTCTAGCTAAAGAGCAGATGTTCAGTGTTGCATAAAAATGCATTTCCAATCACATGAGGATATGATTGGACAATTAGCCCCAACCAACATCTAGGGTTGATTTCTAACCCTTGTACCTGGTGAATTAGTGATTTGCTTTCAAGCATAAAATGTTTATGCATGTCGATTTTCACATTCAAGAAGAAAATCAAATGGAAAACTTATTGCTAATGAGGGAAAATAACAAACATAAGAGAGAAGGCATCGATATGCAAATGTCAAACATAGACCCAACAAATAGCCAGATCATACCTCTATATCTGCAAAGATTATGAAAGGAACATATAGCCAGATCATACCTCTATATCTGCAAAGATTATGAAAGGAACATATGTCCTCCTCCATAGAATGCACCAAGGTTGACCACACTTGAGCATAAAAACTAGAAAGGGGTTAAGAGTGACTTCAATAACTAATGAAGACAAATGACTTTTTACCCTCTTAGAGATAAATTCCCTCCAAATAATATATGAGGATGTCTCCAATAAGCTATCCATATCAATTTTGTGCTCTTAGTCCCCTTTGGTACATCCCTCACTGCCTAACATAAAATATCATGAAAGTAAACATCTATATTATTTCTCAAGATCCATTCCATGAGTGACACATGCTAACAACCTTTTTGGTAAGTTTTTCTCATAAATAGATAAATAGGGAAAAAAAGAGGGAAAAAGCAACAACAAATCTCCCATTGCATGGAATAAGAGCCCCTACTTTGAAAGGAGTCAATGCGATGAAAGACAAATGGAAAACCAACAATTTGCTTTTACTTGTATAGAAGCCCTTACTCCATGTTGAGTAAAAACACCTATGACTCAAGTTTCGAGTATTGAGTCCTTTACATTCCGATAGAGTTGTCAAGATTGTGCCTATCTATAGCGTATCACTATTGAACAATAAAAGTGTTTTAGATTCCTAAGGCAAGAAGCACTTAATGAAGTGCATGCCTAGATGCATCAAGGCTTGCTCCTTTTTTTTTTTTTTTTGCAAAACAATAGGTAAAAAAGCCTTCCTAAAGTTCTCTATTAACATACTTTATTTTTCATTTTTTTCATTGCCTTTTCCTTCACTAGCAAGAAAAGTGATATTTGGGTACTCAAGAACAAAACTAGGACCATATGGAAATCATGCATATGGCTCAACAAAAGAAAATTTTGAATGTTTCGTAAATAAACCGAGCCATCTACATGCACATGCATGCATGCTATGCTTTCGTCTCTTCACTCAGGCAAAATACCTTGAAAACATTGCCTTCATTAAGTGGGACACTTCTACTATGCCTTAGGGGATGACAAAGGATAGCAATAAAGGTTCTAACTATATTGATGAGCTAAAAAAATAGCAAATATTCTTGTTAATCGACACATTTGTAATGAGTTAGGTTTTCTAAAACCTATTATCAATCGGTTTTAGATTGATAATAGGTTTTAGATTGGATGATTAACAATTATAAATCCTAATCATTGGATTTAAAAGTTTTGGTTCTTTCCTACTTTACTCCTAACTATTGAACATATCGTACATTCAAGAAAGCATAAGGTACAAACTAATATGAACTAAGCTAAAGTAAAAATTAGTTAGTTCAAAAGGAGAAATAAAAGAAGGGTTGAATGGAAAGATTGCCAAAAACCTATTTTATAGGGGATAGAACAAATTCAAATATTTTATGAAAATTGTAAATATTGAATTTGCTACCAACCATTTTCCCAAAATACGGAAATACAAAACAAGGCGGAAAATGAGTATGCGAATTTTTCCCACTTTAGTTCTAGGTTTCTTGGGGCCTAATACTAAAGTTTGCTCCCCTCACCTATTACCAATTGGTTTTCCTAAAATTTCTTCTAACAAACAAGAAGTAAAAATAAATTGAGTTTGGTTTTCTCCTCTCTTCTATTACCATCCACTTTCTTCATTCCATATGTTGTTTTTACTCTGAAACATGACGATGGAGAGACATAGTTTTCGTGTAAAAAGTGTTTTTGAAAAGTACTATGGAAAAGGATTGTGTAAAAATATGATTTGTTAATTTAAGTATTTTGACATTGTTGTTAAAAATTACTATGGGGAGTTGAAACGTCCATTTTAGAAATATGTTAGAAAGTGCAACAAATTGAGAAAGATGAAGATCAATAAGAGGTATTTTGATAATTTCATATCCAAAAAGAATCTTCCAAAAAATATAACTTTTTTTGTGTTTGGATTGAAAAGTAGGTTTGAAAAACACTTTTCATCTGAAAAACATACGGTTCTTCATTGCTTATGGTGAACTAGCCCTTAATAAAAGATCACAAGAAACACAGGACTTAATAGATATACATAGTAACACCACACAAGACCTTCAAGAACATCTCCAAGGTTATTAACCTCACATGAGGTAAAGAGGAACACAACACAACATGGGGCTCGCTACCGTGTTAAGCATCCAACCTAAAATCAATTGATGATAGATTAGGACACAAGTTTATATTAAGATTGCAAAAAAATGAAGAAAGAAGAATCTAGCTCAAACTTGTCAAAAGCTATATTTGTAGATAGCTTCAGTTTGAGTAATAAATCACTTGTATGCACTCCAATAGCAAAAAATGTGCACTCAACAACAAAGTGACTTGAGTTGGTACATTAAATCCAAGTAACTCAAAAGAAGTTAACATTGTATTGTCATTGAATAAAGACTAATCTACCAAGTTCTACTATGTGTACTTCAATTTTTACCTCTTTTTGTTAGTTTAAAAATACAATACTTCAGATTCAAGATTATGACTCTTAATAATTGACTTTGTGCTTGATAGTTTTGGCAAAGGGAGGTAACAAGCTTGAGGCAACAACTACAGTACTTACAAGAATACCACAGGTATTAAGAACATCCATTTCATCACACCAATGCACTCTTTAAGAATTTTCGGACTTGTAAATTTAAAGCAAAAGTTTAGGGACTTCTATAAACTACAAAAAAACATGCCTCAAAATTTTTTGTAGTAACAAATGCATAAACTACATTGTTTCCAAAACTAAGTTTTATGATCATGTTTGTCATTTTATTGGGAAAAGTACAAGAACCAGGATGGATCCAAGATTTGTGTTCAAACGGGACAAATTGTCTACATCACTTTTTATAGTTTGGAAGCCTAATGAAAACTTTAAATTTTCAATATCAAATAAAAACTGTCTACATACATAACCACACAACCATTTACTCAAAAATTGTCTACATCAAATTATTTTGAATATATAGAAGAAAACTATGATACAACCCTTTGTTTCTTTGGCATTTCTTTCACTAAGTCATTTGTCTACATTCTTTTTTTTATATTGGTTCACCGTTTTATTTTTATTATCGTTTGGTCCACTTTATGTTGTTTTATGTTTTTCAAAGCTCTGAAGGATCCAAAACAATAAACAAATAACAATGAACTCAAAGTTCATTCAAATTTTCATATGGTAACCTAGTAATTTTTGAAGTCATCTTTTATTTTATAAATGTTTTATTATTTTGAATATTTAAAAATGATGTGATAAATAATTATGATTTATGCAGTTTGCAAGACTGTTTTTAAGTCTTATGTAACTGGTTTATTATCAATAAATTGATGCACTCTTTTCCTCCTTTCGCTAGTTGGTTCTAGCCTTAGGGCAGAGAACTACTATGAGGGAGGTTTTTAATGAGGCATTCTATTCCTATAAAAAAAGAGAATTATATTAAATATTTAATGAAATAAACTTTAGGGTTATGTATGAACAGAGAAGCACATTTTCTGGTGTAAATTTACAAAATAATTAGAATGCAATGTTTGTGTCTGATGTTACCCTGCAGTCAGCTGCCTTGTGAACTTATTGTGTTCGACAATATTGATTTACTGACTGCAAATTGCAACTGTACTAGTGTTATCCAATAAAAATAATTTCTCACATTGGTTTTCGTTTCTTCTAATAGCAAGGATCAAATTAATTATAGATTATTCATATCAATATAATCGGGAACTAACAATGCAATTTCATAATGAGAAATAAATTGGGCAATCCGTTGCACCACTAAAAGCATGCTTTGATAATTAGTAACTGCTTTAGATAGGCCAAAAGTTTTCTAAGCACACTAGCCTGAATGGATAGTCACTATTTAATCAGAATACTCCATTCCACTCATTATCTCTTCAACAGTATTTGCATTGACTACAATGGAGAAAAATAGAGCAGTCAATTACAAATTGCACCACTAAAACCCTAAGTTAAGAAGATTGAGATGGATTTATAAATATTCTTTCTAGTTAGTATCCCTAAATCTAAAGGATTCTTTTGATGAATAGAATTAGTCTCATACCTAGTTTAGAAGTTACCTAAGATAAGGCTTATGCTTGTATATATATATGTAAGTTTCTTACACATTTAATAAGAGTGAATTACAGTAAAATTCATAGCTTTTGTCATGGTATCAGAGGTAGTCGTTTTTGGGTCTTAATCTCCTTATTGAGCGACTTTTCATAGTTCTTAAGAGAGTATGACACCTGATCAGCAAAATATA